CAAAACTACATCGCTGAATGGTTACCATACTGATGATGCTATGATACTGATAATGATTATACTTTCGATAATGCTAGTGATTACGAACGCGATATTAATTGTAACTTTTTTGAGCTGTTTGTGAGGTCTGATAAGGGTACACTTACAAAGGACTAGACAATGCAGTGACCAATAGTCGAACTTGTAGTTGGTAAAATGAATCATACTTTCATTCGATAATGGCTATGATAATATAAATAGTAGTGATAATGTTAATGGTATGAAAGTGATAATGATAATATAGTGGTAACGATAATGAAAGTGATAATGACGATGACGACCGTGATAAAGTGATAGTGATGGTGATGATAGTGGCAATGATGATAGTAATAATGATCAGTGATAACCATGATAGCGATAGTGACAGTGATAATGATAGCGATAGTGGTAGTGATAATGATAATGATAGTAGTGGTATTAATGATGGTGGTAGTGTTAGTGATGGTGATAGTGATAAAGATAGTGATAGAGTTAATGACGGTGGTGATAATAATGATGGTGATAGTGATTGTGATATTGATAGTGATAGTGATGGTGATAGTGATAGTGACAGATCCTAGTGAGTGATTGTCCATATCCACGGTGCACCCTCCTTTACCTTTGCTGTCACTCTCAATATTCCTACGGTTTTAATCACCTACCAAAACGGCGGCGAGGAATGAAGGCGCTTGTTCCAACAGAGCCCAAGGCACAACGACAGTTTCGCACGGAGACGCAGATGCCCCGGCTAGAGAGTGCCGCCAAAGCGACGGCGCGACTCTGTTTGCTTATTTCTACGGTGGTCCTCATAGTGTTGAAGAGGATGTTCGGCGAAGAGAATGCGTCTAGTGAAGATGCATTGAAATGACTCTGCCTCGACTTACCGGCATCACATACAATGCGCAGCATCGTCTCAGTCAAACAAATTGTTGTTATCTGATTTCATTTGCTATGATGACTTCTGGGTATTGTTTTGAACGAGAGAATGCCGTAAACATGATGAACATTGCATTATTTTTTAAATAGCTTGAACAACTTCATTGAATGCTGGCAGCTTATGATCATAGTCCATTAATGTTATTTCTCCATAGACAAGAGTTTTGCGCGCATCAAAAACATGGGTTGGTATATAGAAAGCATGGAGGGCACATAACATAAGAGAAGCACGAAGTTTTTTTAAAGCACAGAGAAAACCAAATTTCATAATGCTTTGAGAGCAGCTTCCGAAATGCGGAATATTGTGCGGTGTGACCTCCACAGAGGCCATGGCGAATGAGGCGCAAATTAGAAGTCTTTCCATGGCTACGCGACCACAAAGTAGACGTCATCGCCAATCAGTTAATAAAAAAAGGCTTTTTAAAACACATTTCGTAGCCCTCACCTTTGCTTAAGAGATCTCTCAGGATTAAATGCTTTCATTTTGCGCTGAGAAGGAGAGTACGAAAGAGCGCTTCATATAACAGTGAACTCCTTTTCATTCTGATTCATAGTGTGCTTCTCTTACGATGCAGTCAAAGCTATAGTAATCAAACTTTTAAATATTTTCTGTAATTTCTTCTATAGTTGTAGTACTGAGACTTAAACAGCAGTCAAAAGAGATTTGACGATGTCTAAGTATTTGAGAGAGATAAAAAATAAAAGCTCTCGGCGATGATCGATCCCTGAGGGATGCATCATGCATTCGTCTTCAATTTTAGCTTCATTTGAGGTGATTGAATGCATATCTGGCCTTTAAATTGACTTGCGGTGGCCTCCCGCTGAACCGAGTTAGAGCTGCTTATTCTCCCAGACAAGTCTAACACCACCTCTGGTTCCAATTTACCGATCCCGTACAGATGGACGGCTTGGTGAGCCATAAGCACGAGATCGAACTATTGACCTCGTGTGCGACACAGGGCACCTCTAACCACTGCGCCACATGCGCTCTTTTTGGAAAACATTATACAGAGTGACATAGTTTGGTTGTACGTACCATTGTGGTTCACATTTGGAGGCCACGGCCTTCTGCGAATCAGCATGATTTTAGGCGCTCATCCACAACAAATATCTGTACTTGTGTTTCACATTGTGAAAATGTAATGACTTCGAAATGGATTGATGTCAGACTGCACTAAACAAGTGGAGTTAAAAGACACAGGAAAATTTCCTCATCTTCTTGGTATTGCCATTTGGTATGGCGTGATTTTCTTTGCCTGTAGTTTCGAAAACCGTTACCAGCATCGCTGTCATTTATTCGAAGAGAACGGCATTTCCTTGCATTGATTTTCCTTTCTTCAGGCTTTTAATTCAGCCGAATTGTACTTATAGAAAGTAAACTGTTACTGCTTAATCACCGCATTCTTTATTTTGCACAGGTTGCGAATTCAGTTACTACTACGCATCTGCTTATCGTGGGGAACAAAAACTGAGCAGGATCATTTTGGTTGATCAGCGCGAAAAGAGGAAACGAGCGCTTTCGCTGGGCAAAGACTTCCTACCGCACTTTTAGTGATCATTCGAAAACTTAAATCGGAAATGCTGTGCGTGCTTGTTTTTTGAAAAGGTTTTTCATAGCACTGAAGCATCGTGCTCATACTTCACGGAAGCACGAAAAGTATGTGGAAGTGCAGAGAAAATCTTGTTATATCAGAGTCATGTGTTGAAAAAAGGTTGATTTGAAGGTATTGTTACGTATGTTCCGTATCCGCCATAAGCTATGCAATTAGCAGCCCTTCACTGTGATTGAACGCGGCATTAAGTGTAATTTCACTTGATGTGAAGTGATACTTCTTTGGCAACGATTTCTAATTACAGTCTGGGTGAGCCGATTGGCACGTGGTACTGATGAAGCGTACGAGATCGTCGGGACCTACGTCTACCACTAAAGATGCCATCAAACATTTCAAAGTCTCAAAATTCCATCAACCAAGCTTCTTATTTATATTATTTGTCAAATGGAGAGAACTCCTATATTCAGTAAGAAAAATCGCGCTTCATATACTTGCGTGATGAGTTTGTCTATCGCCCACAGCTAAGCACACACCCTAGCCGACAAGCAGATGCGCGGCGTACATGAAACTTAACCTTATTCTTCCTACAACACTGGAGTTAGACGGTCTATTTAGTAAAGGAGCACAGAGTTGAAGTGCAGTTCCTGAGGGAGTTGTTGGTACTTTTTGAAGCTCTGCATATGTGAATTTTGTGTTGTCACCTTCTGCTGCTTTACGCTGTTATTTAAAACTGTTAATGCGTTTCGTTTAACAGTGAACGTAATCAGATTAAATTACTTTCAATACCACTGTTTTCTCGTTTACGCAAGCGATCACTGCCGCTTGAGGCACTGTTCTATGTTTGACTCCTCGTAGAAAATCTACATCGCTCGTATTATATCGTATAAAGCTTTCTTTGTCTTAGATTGGTCTTAACTCAACTGATGAAGCCTTATCGAAAAATGATACATAATCAAAACTGCTTAGAGACTGCCAAGTTCTAGAATGTGAACACGACTAATAAGACATTATTAGTATTTTCCAATGCATTTCGCATTGTTATGATGTTTTCTATATACCTAAGAGAATTGAGTGGTGAGCAAAAACGCGGCCTCAGGCTGGAATCGAGCCCACGTCTCATCCTATCGGGGGACGCGTGCTCTACCACTACACCACTAAGCACATTTGCCCTACCACTCATTCTTCAACATCTCAATGTTAGCTATCAGCCACCAACCTTTGACAGGTTGGGCTCTGGTATGCGATTTTGCTTTATAAACCCAGTTGAGCTGACAGCTATTCTAATTACTAATACTCGACATTAATAGTATTTTTCAATGCGTTTCGCATTGTTATGATGTTTTCTATATACCTATGAGAATTGAGTGGTGAGCAAAAACGCGGCCTCAGGCGGGAATTGCACCCACGTCTTATCCTATCGGGGGACGCGTGCTCTACCACTACACCACTGAGGCGCATTTGCCCGACCACTTATTCTTCAACATCTCAATGTTAGCTATCAGCCACCAAACTTTGACAGGTTTTGCTCACTAATAAGACATATGATCAGCCTTTGAAGAAGAGGATGTTACGAAGAGTTCGCAAGGTGAGTCAGTACAATTTGTAGCACTTACTCACTCTAATGTCATTTTCCGTAGACTTTGCACTTCTACTAAATTAGCACATTTGAGAAGAATGTTTATTGGTGAGGTATTGACTCTTGAAATCAGTGTTGAAGATGTTGAAGATAAAGAATCGTATTAGGAGTTTTTAGTTTGCTAAATCTTGTTTCAATTTTCCACACTTACTATGTCGTTTCCACGAATTTTCCTACTTTAGATGAGTGAAGTTGAAAGTCTTTTATCAAGTCCCACTTTTTTCTAATAAAAAGTAGTAAGTGCTATAGGCCTTAGCGCAAAGTTGTTAAATGGGCTTTCAGAGGTTGGCATGCAATTTATTTTTGAGTGTAGCCGTCTAATATCGTGTAAGGAAAGGTTACCATTATTTGTATCAGGTTCGACGCGTCTTTGGGACTGGTCATCAGCGGGTTCTTTGAAGAACGATAAACGTTTTTTAGAACATTCTTTGCTTGTTTCCTTATTTATTTGGTTACTTGTGGGTGCCTTTTCAACTTGTATTGAATATTGTTACTAGAGCAATGCTTTTGTTTTTTCGCAAAAATTTTTAAGTTCCCATTCAAAAGCAAATCAATTTCAATTTGATATTTGGATTTTTATTTGAAATTTCAAGTATTTTGACAGCATTTTTCGCAATGTTATTATGATTCGTATATAACTAAGAGGATTAAGTGGTGAGCAAAATAATAAATATAGCCTAATAACACTGCGAAAATGCAGTTAAAATACTAGAAATTTTGAGTATTAGTTATGACAACGACTGTCAGCTCAACTGGGTATATATAGCGACATCGCATGCTCGACTAAACCTGTTAAAAAAGGTTGGTGGCTGGTAGCTAACATAGAGATGTTGAAAATTTAGTGCTGATGCAAATTTGCCTTTGTGGTGTAGTGGTAGAGCACGCGTTCACGGATAGGATGAAACGCGGGTTCAAATCCTGGCAGAGGCCGTTTTTTGTTCACAACTCAATTCCAGTTTTTATTTCCAACCAAACTTCGTCATCGTCTGTCTCGATCATCATCAATCGTAACATTCGAAACTGTGGTTGAAGAACCATCTTTTGCTCAGACTTTTCGTATGAACTCAGGAGCGTTTATACTAGCGAGCAGCATCTGTTGCTTCTAATCTCGTTAATCAGCGAGACACTGGGTTGATACGAGTAGTTTGTTATGTCGCGCGTCATGGCTGCCGGATAATTTGCTGTACATCTCACCAGAAGCAGAAAATTCATCACGATAAATATGCTTTTTACATAGAATGTAGTTCTCACTCTGTGCAGTTATTAATTGTTATGCTAACAATTAGAAGAACATCTTTTCGTGGATTCGAAAAGAGCGTACAAAGCACAAATCACAAACAAATCTGGTCTCTTAGCTATGTTAGGCTCTGCTAATGTTGTCTTTTCACCTTGACTTAGTCCAGTGACATTGTCCACGATACCTCTCGATCACTCGCAAAGCTTGATTGAATGGCCATAGTGTCGAGACAAATGAAAGCAAGGTATGCAGTCACAGACATTTTGATTTTGATCGCTTAGTCATCCCGCCTCTCACATTTTCGTAGTCTCCGTATACTTCAGTCACTTCGTTCTTAAGAGCTTAATAGTCTTTATGACCTTCGCTTTCTCCAAGCAGTTCTATAATATCTATAGATTATATCTATAGAGATAGACTATATCTATAGAGATTTGGACCACCGTTTTCACTTTTGAAACACATAATGGAATAACAAGTTTTTCACTGGACTGTTTGTTTATAGTGCTATGAGAGCAGAACTGGTCCCTTTGTGCTCGAAAATCTTTCTACTGAATAGTTCTAGACTTTTTCCTGAATGTCCGTGTACAACCATACACCCAAACATTGGTAGTATAGGTTTAACAGATTGGTTGATTTGACGATTGGTTTATCAGAGAGAGTTTTCAGACAATGATGTGGATGATTTAATCCACCAACAGTGATATAATCGGTCCAGATAACAATGATCTAATCCGTATAGACAACAATATGAAATATGTACACATCATTAAAGTGGTAACATGACAATAGTATGTACATCGTGACGACATTAATGTGTGTAACGATAACCGGAGACTCTTAAGTGCGAATCGATATCCTGAGCGATGAGCTGTGGAGCTTGACTTGACGGCGAACCTCGGGAATGCGTTATGCTTGCCTCGGTAAAAATCTAACAGAGCTGAAGAGAAGAGAAAACCGAGGGAGGGAGGCATGATTCTGGGCGAGTATATGTGATTAAACCTGAAACCCATCTCCCGGTGGCGGGTCAAACAAAACCCATGAGTTGGTCCCCCCGCCATCGTCATGAGCTCTGCTCACAATATGCGTTGAGATTGCAAGTGACTGATATGATGAGAACAGAAAGGAAATGACTAGTAATGAAATCATGGGATCGCGATGGAAGAGTGACGACAACGACCACTCACGGAGGCGACAGGTTACGAAACTAGACGCCGTCTCGATAATATGGCGGTGCGATTGCGACTGCGAGCTCAAGGGTCCTGCTGCGATGGAGGACGTTAACGACCTTTATGTGGGATCGCCCAGCCAAATGCCAAAAGTAGCAACGGATACGTGGATCAATTGTTACAGGTAGTACATTTTCAAGCATTTATACGCGCGACATTCTTTATATTAGTGTACAAATATGACTCCACCGTTTTTTGCTGCAATAGCAGCAGAAATAAAGATGTGCAAATTCTTTTTTTTGCTTGGAAAAGCGTTAAAAACGCTATTCATCTATGGGTTTCATATATACAAAATATTATATTGGTAGTTTTGATAGGACTTTGAAGGACAGCTTTTGTACCTGAAAAGCACCATTTTTCTAAAATTTACTAATTTGTAATTTGGATTTGATAATTTTAAGTGGTAATCTGATGGTGTAATGTTGGGAGAGTAGGGCAGGCAAGGTTAAACCTCCTAAAATCTTCCATCTCAGCTCTTTTAAGACATTTTCAGTCGGTTCTGCAACACGAAGTAGAGCGTTATCATACAGCAAAATTGCAAAGTTCGTCCGTTTTGATTTTTCAGATGATTTTTACTACAGAAGTGCATGCCATCGGTATCGTTCAGTTGCGACTTTTCATGTGAACATTTAGTTATACAACTTGCCTCTACTTGTCTAGAATGCAGCTCGCTCCAAGCTCCATTACTCCTGTGCGCCGCTTCACTGGTATTTTCCCTTGCGCGCCATTCGGTGCATCAATAGCAAAGGAATTTTCTTCCATGACAGCTCCATCTTGAAACAACGTATGCAAATTTAATATTAAAAGGTTGGCAAGAAAATGCGCAAATGAGCGATATCAAAATTGAGTAATTTCGATACTTTTGATCAATATATCTGCAAGGTAAAATTTTCGTAAACGGCGCTTTTTGGGTACAAAAGTCGTCATTTTCTAAGCCCTTGAAAGCTATCATATGAAATATTTCGCATACAAAAACATCATATACACAGGTAGTATTGTAACATTTTTGTCGCACTTTCGAAAAGAAAAGAATTTGCATGTCGTTATCTTTACTACTTTTACAGCAAAAAAAAAGACGGCGAAATCAAACTTGAACGCCTAATATGTTCAAAATACACGCAATGTCGGTGGCTCTATCCACCATATGGCCCACGAAACCTTCCATTCCCGGAGTCACAAGTTAACAAGAGAACTGTTCAGGAAAAGCTGTCTTGATCCAGAAAAGATGCTCACTGCATGAATCGGAGCTCGGCAGCCCCCTAACTCTTACAAGATTCCAGCACGAATGAGCTCGACCGACACTTAACGGTATTTATAATTGACCGAAAAATCTGAGATCACGATCAAATCTTTCAAGTTCATAAAAGTAATTGCGCTCTATCCACAATATGTAGATCTGAGTCATATAGGTAAGTCAAACAATTAACGTTGCCTTTGAAGTACCGTAGATTGCTGTTTGCGTAGTACTATATCGCCATTATAGATGTTTACCTTGAAAGTTTTATGAGAAAATTCTACTTTTTTCGTATTAGTTTCGATTTGTAATTCGCATGGCAGAGTATCTGTCGACATGAGTGACGAGTTCAGAAACGCCATTTGCTGCACTAAGCATCACTTGCTCAGTCCCTCTCCTCTTCGATATTGTGGGCCCAACATCTGAAACAAACACTCTAGAAAAGATCGAATAGCCATTACGTTAGAAGAAAGCAAACTTATTATTCGTGAGGACATTCAGATCTCCACAGTTCTTTCTTCAACCAATAAAGTTCACAGTGAGCTCAGTTATATGATACTTGTTATAAGCAGAAGGACCTACTTTCTTCATATTAGCTCATTCTCGCAACTTATATTATTGTCACTAACGGAGCATTGCTCGGTTATACGAATACAGTTCGCCCGAAAATATGTAACTATTTATTTATTTGCACAATATCGATAGATACTGGGTAGCCGTGGTCGAGTGGTTAGTTATTCACGAATAAAATGCAAATTGCTGGTTCAAAGCACCATTATCGCTCTCTTGTAATCACCTGAGTGCGCTTTAACCTGATTGCCCCCAAGATTGTAAGGCTTGTTCTACAATATCCATCAAGAAGAAGATATCAGCAAGCCGCAGTTGAGCAACGCTCAAAATGTTTGAAGAGCTTCACGATGGTGAATGCAAGAGAACAAAGTGAATGCTAAAGACTGGGATTCGCACAGCAAATTGTGATTACGGGTCATGTATGAGAAATGGAATGAAACTACAAATATTTTAATTGAGAAATGTGATAATACTTCTTTGTTCCTTATCTACACAGCTCCGTCTTCGTACTGACTGGTCGGATTTCATCATTTCTCACATTCGATTCACATTTTGGCAGCCATCGTCCACGAGGATTCTTGAGCTTTTCTCGTATGGAATCAGATGTTTCCTGAAGATTGTCTTTTTCAGGAATATGTTTAGAGGCGTCAAATTAACCGGATTTGGATTTGTGAAACTTGCACAATAAAGAGTCTGGCTGTTTTGTAGGTACAACACACAGAATAATGTTGTTAGTCCGTGAGCAATGTTACCAGTTTCATTGTGGCCTGAGCTACTATTACTATTCAACTTCTTTCGAAGACGTTTCTAAGATCTGACTATTGTCTTTATATACTCTGTCTTTAAATTTGCAATCTGGACTACAGGTACGTAGCGGAGTGAATTTGAGAGTGTTACAAAGCGCAATAAATCAATCGTCGATGCAATCCGAGGCTCAGAATCACTAGGATTTCCATCCATCAGAAGTGGAGAAATTAGTGCCAAATTAATATGCAGTCCATCACTTTGAGATGTTGTAATGATGCCGGATCTTAGAGGATTGATAATGCTTGAATGGTCCATCATCATCGTAGTGCAAGCTCTCGATAACAATTTTCCTGCCTCATAGATCGAGACGTGATTTAATGCAAAAACATTCCGCTCGTTGAGCTGTACTAGCTCTTCATTCCATCTATATAGTTTTATTTATTTCTTTTGTATTCTGCGTAATTTTCATTCTAATACACCACTTAATTGTCCCGGCTTCCTTTTCGTCTTGTTCCTCCATTTTATCGTCTTTATTAGATCTTTGATAAAGCGAAGTGCTTTTTGAATGCATAACGTTCTTTTCTTGCCCTCAGCACTGGTCCATTTTTCATGCACACTCGTGTATGTGGAGCTTGTGAGCTCATTGTGGACGAAATTTCTCAAATTTCGACTTGAAACGGAAGTTCCGATTAGTTATTGACGATGTTAATTCCTTGGAGACGGCATGTGGCAAAATGGCGACTGGCCGAAGTTGTTTCTGCAGCCGCGCTTCAAACTTGGGTAATTAAACCTTCATCTATGCAGAAACATTATTAATACGACGAACAATAACATCAGTAATCAACAATAACGACATCACGTGGTTCAGTGGATCATGTTGTTTATCTTGGATGGTTACCAGAGTGAGAATGACTCA